TGAAAACCACTGATCTACAGATATCATTTGGATAATCCTCCTAAGGTTTTAATATTCAGCTAAACTTGAACACTGTCCAAATGGCAGTGTAAGACCAAGAAAATCATGAGCACCTTCTTTATTTGAGATTTGTCATATATCTAGACTGAGTGAATAATGATATAAAGCCTATAAACAAATGAAAAATAAAAATAATTTAAAAGCTGAAACTGTACAGTGTCTAAAAAGTTCTGCAGATATTGACTTTACAGATACACAAGGAAAGAGAGAGGTAAAAAAAAATAGCTGAGCTTCTTCAACTTCAAATAAGGTTAATTTAGGTATCAAATTAAACTTTCTAATGCATACTTCTAATGTTTTCCTCAAGTTCTCATTACTTCCTGTAGGACCACGACAATAGTCAAAGTATTGCATTGAATCCTTACAGCAAGACCTCCATAAGTTAATATTTTCTGTCACCAAAATAGTTATTCCTTTCAAGATATTCATTTACTAAAACCAAACATATTCTCACTATATTTCTTAAAAACAGTGAATCAGTTAGTGAGGAGTTATTTTTTAAATTAAGCTTTTTTTCCTAAAGCTAAAGTTTTAGTTCCCTAAAAACCTAGACTGTAGAGCTTCTCACCTGCTGTCAAACTATCCATCTATCTCCTATCTCCCTTCCCACAAAAAAGAAATAAAAACAATTCTATCCCTTTTCATTATAACCAGTTATTCTTTTAAAAATGTTACCTGGACCTGGAAATGGCAAAGTCTGAATTTCAAAGTCATATCAGATATGTGAGCAGAATTCTGCTCTGAAGGGACTACATAACAAGTTCCAGCATTACTAGTAAGCGCACTACAGTGTACCAGCAACCTGGAAAAATGCCTAAACCTTTCACAAGTATTTTCTTTCTCCTTTACAGCTTTTACCTTCTCACTCTCACCACAATCTAACAGGGTGCTCAAGCATGCTGCCAACTTCAAGCACATTAAGTACTGCCTCTGCGATATATGCATGCACTATTTTCAAATATAGCATCACACATACACACGGCTGAACCTGGACCTGCGTCTGGAAATGTGATTCCTGTTCAAGGAGCTCTCCATTCCTGTCTTCAGCCTGATTTCAGAAAAATACTCTTATTTGGGCAAGACTTTTAATCATACTCTTGAGCTTCATTCAAAACAATGAGAAAGATCTGTACAAGTGCCTGACTCTCAGAATACTGGAGCATGTGCTCCACTGTTTAAAATAATTATGAAAAAAAACTAATTTAATAAAATAATTTAATAAATTTGCTATTTTTTCATCCTTTCTCTTCCATTAATTCTACTTGCCAGTTCTTGGATCTTTTGTCTGCTGCAAATTCTTTAGCAGACTGCAGCAACGGCATTTATAATACTCTTTGTCCTTCATTGTCAATGTACGTTTTTAGCTTTTTTCTGCTTATTTTGCCTCTTATATTCAGGATGGACCAGACTTGCTTTTATCAGTCTTGCCCGTTGCAATTTTTGCTACACTCTGCAGCTCTACTCAGTTACAGTGGTTTCTTTGTCTTTCCATCAATTGAGATGTAAAAAGGGTAATTTAGGAAGGTGGGAGGATATGGAGTGGGAAGTGAGGATGAGGAAATCTTCTTCAAAAAGTTTTCCCTGTTTTTTACCTTGTCATGCAGCCTTATGTAAAAACAACCTCCCCTGGCCGTGGCAGGCCAGGCTACTTTCTCCCCAGCATACTACGGATTCCTTTCATCAAAACAATAAAGCTCTTGCTTAATTTTAAGTGCACGCATAAATTTCATTATCTTCAATAATCACAGGTTAAAGATAAGCATAAACTGACGTGCTTTGCCAAGTAAGAATGATCTTACAATTGTTCTTAATGTTCTTCATTGAATCTTGGCCTAAAGATTGGCCATGCCAGTCTTCCATGCTGCTGGAACGCATTCAAGACGTTTGGTACTGTGTATTATCTCACCGTGTCATCTAGTCTGATGTCTCCATACCCATTTCTTGTTCACTAAGGAAAAGACTGAGGTTCTGCAGTTGAGTCTGATCCCTGGGTGCCCCTGTCACTGAATCTTAGCTCAGCACAGCTGAACTGCAACTCTTTCAACAGCTGATCACACGTGAATATCCTCAAAAGCAATGTAAGCCTCTGGTTTGAACCCACTTAATTATTTATTTTTAAGTCATGTATTTATTTTTACGTCATGTATTTATTTTTAGAACAAAGGTGCTGGGCTATTCAAAATGTAATGTAGAAGCCTTTGAACCCTTTTAGCATCCATTTTCTAGAAGAGTATAAAATAACAAGGCTACAGATGTGATATTTGCTGAATTCCGAGTAACGCCTTCTCTGTCTAAAATCCTAAACTATGGTTAATAAAGATAAGGTTTCAAAGTCCCAGGGAGATCTCCATACCCTTGAGACACTGTGAGAAGGAGGGTAGAGGGCTGGGGCAGCCATCATTCCTGTGGAAGTAGAGCTAAGTCAGTGCTGGATGCTAATAGAAATTCTGCCTGGAGTAACCGGTAGCATTTTGTGTGTCATTATCATTACCTTTACAATTCACTGTGATGACCACA